AGCGGTCCATGCACGCTGCGAAAAGTCACGTGAATCTCATGTTCAAATGCGTGAGGTCAGCTGATGGCCTTGTTCACTCACGCTTCAACTTTCTCACGGTACGACAAGCTAAATTTTCAGGGTGTAACCCGCTACGGTTCGCACAAATCTTTCCCGTTTGCTTGAGGGCTACTGAACTTAGGAAACGGCGTTAAGTTTGGCGTGACACCCAGAACTGGGGCAACCAGCAAATCAGATGAACGCAAAAATCGCTTGTTTGAAAAACATGTTCGCCATAAGACCGTTCTGGCATCCAAGTGACCGCGATAGTTTAAGACTATTTTATCAATAGTGTGGTGAAACGTTCCAGTCCGGTGCGAACAGCCTTTTCGCTAACGAAATGGATGCAGAATTCGCATAATCCCAGCAGTCGTTTTTGGTGAGGCCAGATAAACCGGCGGGAAGTTGTCGAATACATCAGTGCTAAGCCAGCTGACTCAAGTGTCTAAGAAAGAGACCTTGAAATTCTGTTCGCCTGCCTGCTCTTCTGCAGTTTAAAGCTGTTTATAGCTGTAACTTCACCGCATACACATATCAGCCTGTTTTGCGTTCCCTGCTTGATGCCTTCAAAGACCTTAGGGTGTCTGGTTTATTCAGCACGATACAGCAACAAAACCTTTGTCCTAGGGAACTAAGTTATTTCGGGATAGCCAATCGAAGTCTGCAGCCCCACTATTTGGCCAATGGAGTGATCAACATCTTTTTATATGTCGTTTTCAAACATAGAAACGTCTTACACAGATTTAATATTCATAAATCTGTATCTGTCATTTCAGTGGCCTACTGATTGATCGGGTACAACAGACCCTCAAGCCCGTCAAGTAAAGTAAATATTTATTCCACCCCCAAAAAAGGCTGATGTTAGAGCATGCAAATAGCATCATATGTAAAGGATGAACTAATTGGATGTGATTTAATTGTCACAACTGGGGCGAGATGGTTCAAGTGGTTAGAGCGCGAATTTACTGACCGGAAGATCCGTGGTTCGAACCCGACCTCTGCACCTCGACTTCCCCTGCCTAGGCTTGGGCAACCTGGCAATATCCCAGCCCTCATACTTCTTTCGGGTGGAATGGCAGCTAGGCACCGGAAGGGTACTGCAGCTGAACGAGTTTATTTTTATTTCACTGTCACAACTAGGTCAGGAGTGACGTTAATACGAGGGACAGTGGGACCACTTGAGAATTATCCTAGCGGGGGCCACAGAAGTGAACTTTCTGGAGCGAGTGTATGAGTTGGACTTAGATTTAGTGCGCGGCCGACTAAAAAGAGATCGCCAAAGTTTTGGATGAACTTGATACAAACATCAGAATATTGGCTTACTTTAAAACCAATAGATATATTGATTGGGCTCGTTCTGCTCCTAGAACAGTACCTTAGTGACTCAATCAGGCTATGATATACCTTAACGACTCAAGGAGAAACGGTGAGGGGGGTGGAAACTTCAGTTCAGTGAAATACAAGCAATACTACAGAAATGAATAAGACTGAAGGAACGGGAAGTGTCCTTAGTTCCAGCGATCGAACTGGATGGATCGACAAAGCTTTCTTGTTAGGTTCACAATGCAGAGCGTTGGAATAAATGAAGGGCCATTGAAAGATGGTCGAACCAGTCAGGGAGCCCGAAGCTTCCACGTGATTTGACCGTTTGGTCGTGGGAAAGGCAAGTCGGTGGTTAAAACCACATTAGCACTGGTTTGTGATTCAGGACGTACACCTGCCACAGCCCACCCCAAAGAATGTTTAGCCGCAGAACACATGCAGTGCTGCACATTGTGGCGAGGGTTCCTAGAAAGTTGGATAATTTGCGTTTCACCGGGCACTTCAACTCAAAGAGGTATCACAACGAATGCGCACAAAACTAATAAAGGATACGGAAAGGCTTCCAGATAAAAAAACATATCAGGAAGGGCAAATTCTTGAAAGTAACCTCAGAACGGCCGGAACCTACTGCTCCACCAAAATCTCAATAGAAAGGCCAGCAAGCATTCAGGCCAGTCAATCATTCAATCAATTCAGCAAAAGCTGATGAGTGTTCTTGCACGCCACAGAAGCATGACCGAATGTGGTCTGCGTTCAGGCATTTCATAGAGGCACGATCGATGTTGATGGGTGTTCACGGGTGTTCACTAACGCCTATCAGACAGCCTGGATCAATGTCAGAAACCCCCTTTTAAATAGGGTGAGGCCGTTGAAACTTTTGCTCTCGCACGCACTCACGCTCTCGAACTCGGTTATTCGGAAATTAGCAGTTGTGTTCCGTTGTGTGAGTCTTTTTTCTCCGGTACTAGGCACTGGAGCGGGTCAGCAGCAGGTACCACAGGTCGGCGTTCCTAGGGTCGAAACGAAGATTGTTCTTGATCAATTTCCGGGGTCACCACATGAGATTCGCCTAAAAGAAAGCTCTCCACGCAGCATACATATCAAGAAACCACCATACGTAGAATTGCCGACCAAGAATTTAGTTGGGTTCTCTGCTGTATGTCGAGTATCGAGAATCAAACAATGGCCTGGAGTTTCCTCAGATGCAATCACCAAGTGGAAAACCGCCTCCCTTTCATTGGGACTCATAGAATGAATAAATCGAAATTCTGCTCCCAATGTTAACGCGAAATTCAAACTATCGAGCATAGCATCGGGCAGTCAGTGCCCTAACTGTCACACATGGCGCACAAGCTCCAAAGAGGTTGACTGGGTCCGGTACACATGATGGAATCTGTTAAGGGTGTGACTACTGTTCAGCTGTCAGTCGGCTTCTCCTAATTTCTCACAATAACCCCGTGAGATGTGAGTTCCAGCCTTCAGGTGGTAGTTTCGTTGCTGCCTTGCTGGATTTTCGTTCCACATCAGACGAAGCTAACTGAACAGTAGAAAGTACGATATCTTTTGTCAGTCATAGTACGAGTGCTATTTGGGGCAAGTTGGAGCTCTTCAAAAACCCCAGAAGTCATACTGTTCACCTTGTATGCTTAGGATCTACTGCGATAAAACGTGCTTCAAGATAATAGGCAGTTCTTTTGGCACAACACACTACTCATACTGTTACTCACAGCTTGTGACCGGTGCACACTACTGATGAATTATATGAGTAGTATCCGATCAGGTGTCAAAGCACATTCCCCACATCCGAGGGAGGATTGGTACGGAAACTATGAAATCGATTTGCAGCGAGTGTTCATTAGTGTTCAGTTCATGAAAGTTCACGAGGACGTTTGAGAGTGTTCACTTTCAGATAATCTGAGATTTTTACTGTCGTGTCTATTAATAGCTTGTAAGCACTTATTTCGTGTTATTATATAAAAACACCACGGCAGTTGGTGTCTCTCGTTTTACCTGAGTGCAGTATTTTACGTATTAGGTGGGGAACCAGACGAAATCTCTTGCTTATGGTATCCGTCAACTGAACAGACTGCACACGAAAGGCCCGCTGTTCGATTTGGCACGATATTCGCAGGATAAACGACATTCGTTGCCTAAACGATGTGACAGAACTGAGTGTCTGACCGAATGGGACTTGATAGCCTGTAATGTTTTCATGTTCTACTCACAGTGAACTTCAAACCGTCTGGAAAATTTTGCATTCCAAAATCTGGTAGGCTATTCATTCCCTTCAACACTGTGTCCTGGCGTTTTTTTGTTGATTTTGGGGCTATTCTGCACCCCAGTTTGCATCACGTGATGATATATAACATACAGCTGAACGTTATTGGTTGAATCAGGAGATACATTGATGGTCGTCTTGACACCAGGTATAACGTTTAAGCATCGCTTCGATAATGGATAGTAATGTGCCTTGAAACTTCACCTTTGTCGTAAACTCTCTAGTCAGTCATTTCGTATAGGCACCAGCCTTCCTCTGTCGCGCTCTACTGTTCATATACGGTGGTATTTGAGGAGACTGCTCTTCAACGCTCTGTCCATTTTGGGACCGCAGACAGAAGATACTACCATCTAACGCCGAAACGCTATCCTAAACGTCATTTGATACTGTCCCGTCAAACATTATTTTCGTAGACTTCTGTTATTCGTTATGGTCAACCTATCCAATTAATACAGGTGCCTGTTGCAAACGGAAGAGGCTCCATTGTCATCATCATCATCACCGTCATTGACAGCACACAACAACCAGTGTGCAGAACTGATGGTTCGCTGCCTTCTCTTTGCGAAGTCGCGATCGCCACTGAAGCAAAGCAAGATTTGTACGTACTGATTTCACAGATGTTAAGCGTTCTCAACCGCTCTCAACTTCATACCATATCTGTCCCAACGGAAGGGTTTAGAACTGCACGAACATCCGGTCTCGCCTAGGCGAGCTCTGATTCTGCGTATGTTTCAAGGATAAATATTTGGAAGGATCCTCTAGAACCCTAAGGTTCGTTAGTTGATATTCATTAACTAGACTACATGTAAATAACGTCACGTTCAAAGAGTTACCTAAAGGTTTTATCATCGGTGAGAGGTGGGCGCCTGTTTTACTAGGACCCATTTAGACATTCAGGTGTAATTCACTTGTATCCTGAGGTGAACAATGTAGTAATCTATCCATAACAATTTCCCTTCCTAATCTTGGTTAAATAAAGCCGTGAAACACTTGCGACGAACATATTAAAAACAGCTACAAAACGGTGATTTGCGAGACAGCTTTGACTCCAGAAGCTAAACCAGAACGATGGGTAATCAGAGACGCAGTGTTCCCTCCACGCCCTCTGTAGGTTCATCATAACCTTCGGCTAATCCGACCATCTTCGCCCAACGCGACCATCCGAAATTCAGACATGTCCAGTATGAATTTCATACTACATTCTCCTTAACCTAGAAATCGACCTCTGTTTCATAGACAGCGTTAAGTAATCGATAGCGCCCTAAACAAACTGACCAATCAGATCGCTCTCTGCCGGCAGATTATCTTTTACGAAATGTTGCTTGTCCGGTGTGTTGCTTCGCGGTCAAAGGAAGAAAGAAATTGACACATTCGGATGATATTTCTTCAGCGAGGTTCTAAGATAAGGAATAGAAAATATTAACGTCTCTGTGGCGAGATTACGGGTGGTGGGATGATGCTGATTTTAAGTAAAAGAATTTGTGCGGAGAGGAAGGAATCACATAGTCTGTGAAAAAAATAACATACGCCTAGGGGTAGTGGTAGATTTCGGATGAATGCAAAATGGCGGGCAACCTTGGGTGCAATAGGGTTTTGTAAATCATTGTAGCTAGTCTATGGGGTAGAGCCATGCTAGGCAAGCAGTTCAGTTCCCGATTCATCCTTCTTAGTATCGTTGGCCTTTCCGGGTGTCTCGATTGCCAGTCGTTCACCAGCCGTGTCCAGATGGATGCCGATTGTCAATTCGTACAGCACTGCGCCGATAACGGCTCCCACGTACGGTCCGACGATTGGTATCCAGAAAAAGTAGTCTTTGTCGCGGAATGCGCTGGTACCCCAACCTGAAAAATGGGAACAGAGTGTAATGTTATCTTGCGCAGTCGGGTTCTGGGCGTCAACGGATAAAATATGAAAGTCAACTGCATAGGATGAGGGAGTACCCTGATTGCACACCATAGGGTTCCAAGTAATACGGACATACTTGCAATTATGAAATCGGATCAATGGTTCTCAAACGGCTAACGTTGATTCTCACTGATTCCAGACGGTGTATAGACCTTTTTGAAGGTGTCGACATAATACGTGGGCTCTTATGAGAGCCGTTTACTTTGTGGAAAGTTTTACTTGGACAGATAAGTTGAGATCAGTCTCTTCGGTAGATGTAACCTTCAGTGAGGACACTATTTCGTGCACAAAAAATGATGCGTTTACCGAACTGGTTATATTTTTGCAAGCGCTTTCACAACATGTTACCTAGTCTATTCCGCGACTGAGATGCTGCATGAACGGGTGCCAAAGAGTTCAATGTATATAAGGGAAGGAGGGACGGAAAAATACCGTATAGATGTAGTTCTGAGTTGACGTTGATGAGATGAAGGACTCATTAAATATGGGACGAAAATACCTAGCGATTTCAGGTTTCAGTCTCAGAATCTCCAGAAGTGTGAAACATTTTAACAAGTTGAGATTGTTCTTGCTTTCAGGCGTTGTCTCGAATTTAACTAGTTAAAGTGACTATGCAGTGATTAGATTTAAATTCCCGATAAATCTACTCTAAACTACACTTGAAAATGTCCCCCCGATGTGAAAGTCTACTCATGAGTAGTGGGTACTGTGTTGGAAAATATATCAGCCCGGAAAAAAAGGTAGTCGGATAAAATGTACTCTAAAACATTGTAAGTGAAGCCAAGCCGCTGAAGTAATGTTTGACGGTAACGTGTCCGGTTGGACCATAGGTTGAGAAACTGTTTTTTAATTCACTGTAAGGCATCAGAGACACGAGTTTGTGGGTCAACAGACATCGAATCACCGGACAACTGTGCAACGTAAGAAACCGAAACTGAGCAGAATTCGGGGTTGCAGGCTAATTTTCGGAGCTTAAATAAACCCGACGGGATAAAAATCACCGGGCTAGAATGTAATATAAAATACGATAGCATATACTATGACACAGTATATATTATAGTATAATATGGTGTAGTATGATGTATATATAGCATATATAGTATAATATAGCATAATATAATAATATAATAATATATAACATAAGAATGACGCAATACCACTGCCATTTAATATGATACAACATAATATGATGTATAAAGAAATATGTATAACCATGTACAATTTACATATATTGTTAGATCTGAAGCGGTGGTTCCTCTTACCCCATCCTATCGCAGCCGCAAGGAGACAGATTTGACAAGATGTTGACATTTCATGTTGTCCGTGGCAAACATACATGTGCAGATTTATCGCATGGTAACAACGATGAAAAAAAACGTGAAAACCTCCCCAGTGGTGTCAGGTACACGGATGTTTGAAGTCAACAGTTTTGCGTAGACATTGTAAATGTCTCGGCTTGATCATCATGGCCTCATTGAGCGATTACATCCAGGGTGTTCGATTGCGTAACACGACAGTGAGAGTTGGTTGTTGATCAGATGGCTGTTGATCTGTTCGCCGAGCTTGGCAATTGGCATCATCAGTGCGCACTGATGATGTCTCCTCGTATGGTCACGAAACTTTGGCAAGCCAATTGCCAAGCTCGGCGAACAGATCAACAGCCATCTGATCAACAACCAACTCTCACTGTCGTGTTACGCAATCGAACACCCTGGATGTAATCGCTCAATGAAGCTAGCTACCAATACTTCACCACATTACCAACGACAGTGAGTGATTTTCTTGGGTCGCATTTGGTCAACGGGATTCTTTCGATCATCGGTGTTCGGTTCCGAGTTGTGGGCTGACAACTTGGTGATTTAAAGCAGTGGTTCCCTTTAGTCTATTTGAATAACTCGCCCAAAGTGCTGTATGTCTGTTCAATGTGTGATGAATATAGACGAATTTTACTTGTTCACATGTACAAGTTAGTTTGGCTCGCTTTCGGCAGTTTTTGAGTAGAGTAGTGACCTCTTCAAATGTACCGAAGCTGTACGGGAACTGGTAGAGGAAATGAGCCTCAAAAATACCTGTTTTTTTCGCGTGGATCCCTGTGGTCTTAAACTGGGTTTTTCTTGACGAAACTCTGCACATCAGTTTGCTGGAATCTCTTCGATGGCGCAAGAAAGGATTAGCTCTTCTTTGTGGCTCATCATCTGGGGAAAGTTCCCAAATTTACATCAACCGTATTTTTGGGGCAAGATGGCCCGAGTGGTTAGAGAGCGAATTTACTGACCAGAAAGTCCGTAGTTCGAACCCAACCTCTGCCTCTCGAATTCTCCTGCCTGGGCTTGGGCAACCTGACAGTATTCCAGCCCTCGTGCTTCCTTCGGGTAGCATGGGGGCTAGGCACCGGATGGGCGTTACAGCTGAGCGACTACCCAGCCGTATTTTTACTAGTATCCGGATGTTACTCACTGCACAATAATTTAATTTTTTGAAAAATGAATCAACCCATTCGTCTTCGATATCTCTCTCTTTGTTCCAACTGAAACATCGGGCTGCTTTTGTGCTACATTCCAACCTAATAATATCATAAGTGATAGGCTCGGCGGTTTATTATTAGTTTTTTTGGCTGGAAAATAGAGGTACGGAGCAGTTTGGTTTGAAACATGTGATCACTTTGGAGGAATGATTTTAAAAAGACTTTATTTTGACAGTTTCTCGTTGGCTTTTCGTAAGTTAGTTGAGCGGAAAAAACCGCTCGATCAGTTAGTCGATCTTGCCTATTCCACACAGCCTAGATGGGCGTTAGTGAACACATTGGACGGCGTTCGACACCACGCACTGGTGGTACTTAATACAGATAGCCGTCAAACAACAAAACGACAGTGCCCGCATAACCAAAGTCCACTGATTTCCCATCTAACGCGAATAAGTTAAGTTAAGTTAGGTGATTTTGAACAACACGGAGACGAGGACATCCCTGATGACCTCCGCTGGTTGTGGGAAAACTTTGGACAACTTATTATGTATATCTTAGTGACATACTACTCATAACGTTGCTGAAAATCCCATCGACAGCCCACGACCGGTTTCGACCTTCTTGAGGCTCATCAGGCAGGCGCAGTCCCCGAGTTTCCCTCAACCCCATGTGCTACTTGAACCCGAATTGGACTGTTTTCGAGAAATACGCTCATGTGCAAATCAACTTGGTTTTTAAGGGAGACTCAATTGAATATCTCTCGCTTCATCATCACCATTTCGTTTCGCAAGAGGTGTCTAACCTGTGTACTGACCTCTCCTTCTTTTATCACCTCATTCAGACGGAACGGTAGCCAGTATTCAATAGAAAGCATCTTCAAATTAACCAGGATTATTGTTAGCATTGTATAAATAGACATGAACAACAAATGGAGTTGAGCAATTTGACGGATAATAGATACTTAGTCTCTCAGTCGACGTCATATAACCTTGACATTTAGTCCAGACAATCAACCGATTAGCTTAAGTATCGCCACGAGTCAGTTTGGTCAAAAGTCCCCATTTTGGGGCATTGTTCTATCATCCGATCGGATTAGATCTTCGATATTCGGCGCGTTTCCGCGAGACTATTTGTGGCAGCGATGGTAGATTGTTTGGAGGTTGGCAGTGACTGGACTACTAGTGAAAGGAAAAAGGCCTTCGTTGCGGAGTTATTTATTAGGAAATGCCAACTGACCGGTTACAGACCATTGAACAGGGAAGCAAAACTCTAATTTGCATCTTATTTACCATAACTGGACAACCATCTTCTCCCGAATGCGTCTTCTTGAACTTTCCTGGAGATTCATTGACTCTACTCGGTCAAATCCAAGCAAATGGTACAAAGTGGCTCCACGAATTCCGCAACAGATCTCCTTTTTTCAAAAGACGCAAAGCGGACTTCTACGAACAACACATACTACTCGCGTGCCTCCTCATCAGTAGGATCACCATTACACTAGGGTGCTGTACAAGTACACAGTGGTACACCGTTGCTTCACGAGTTTTATGGAAGACCTAAATTGAAAAGGTTTGACCTAGATAATCGATCAGCTGTCACACCCTTTCAGTGCCCAGCTGCCAGGCCACCAGAAGTAAGCAAGAGGGCATGGATACTGCCGGGTTGCCGAAGCCTAGACAGGGCAAGTCCAAAGGCAGAGGCCAAGTTCGAACCATGAACATTCCGGTGTGTGAAATCGCGCTCTAACCACTGAACCATTTCGCCTCCATTGACCGGTGTTGGGTTGCATTTTATAGATATTAGCTGCATGCACTATCGAATTCCGTTAGTCTGGCAAAGCAACCAGAATGAAACTCGAAACGATGAATGTTAAATTGTTTTTTGCCTCTAATCCAAGGAAAAGTTATCTAGACCACTGTGGTAAGCTGTTTTCGGGGCAGCACTTGATGGCATGATGGAGCAGTTAATTGATTGGTCGTATAGCCTGTCGCAGTCATTCTTCAAAAGATCTAGAAAGCTGTCCTGAGCGCATTAAATCCAAAAGATGATAGGTGGGTGATAATCCTAAAACAGGTTATCTCCATTCATTCACTTTCAGTTTCACTTACTCTCTCCAAGGGAACTCGGCTCCGGCAGCACCTTAGCCTCATTAAGTTGTCTAACGTCACTCAGTTCCTCAAAAACAGTTTGATTTAGGTTCAAGTAGATCATGAGGTTGACGGAAACTCGGGGACTGTGCGCCTACCTGATGAGCCCCAAGAAGGGCGAAACCGGTCGTGGGCTGCCGAACAGTTCCCAGCAACCTTGTGAGTAGTTTCCCTTATGAAACTACAAGGTTCTTTTGCGGAAACTCTTTCTGCTCAGTGGTATTCCGGTGAGAGTAGCGTTGCTGGTTCCACAAAAACCTCTGGGCTGAAATTTTCTATAAGGCGTTTGGTTGAATGATTGATACTGATAGCCCCTAAAACGCAC